GACTTTGTCTTACATCCTTTGGGCATGCTGTCAGAAGGGGCCAGTCCTTGGGAAAAGACATTATCAGTGAAGAAAGACTGACTGACACAGTGACTGCAACAACGGGCCCAGGCACGGCAGAGATTGTGAGGAGCGCCCAAGATCAGACAAGGCTTCCATCTGTCACACACGGGGCGCCTGGAAGTCACAGCAGATTCACTAACACCTGACACCAACCTCCACCTCTTTGCCCAAACCAATATGCAATATTCCTTTTAAGCAAATTTCTGATTCCAAAGCAGCCATGGTAGGAAGCACCTATCAGGATATAGCTACATGGCTTGATTTTGCTCTGAAATAAAATATAATCAAGTAGTTGCAAGATCCCACATTAGTGGATTCTATCTCATTATATTCCATTTACTAGGAAGAGGACACAAAGAAATCTCAAGAAACTGTAATAACAGCAGATCCAATGACTATAAAAGTCAGGCAGTTCTATGTTTAAAGGGTGCCATGGCTTCTAGAGAACTCGAGGTGTCCGTCACACCTGCATGAAACGTGCTCTCTAAACATCAACCTGTCTAAACTGGGATCATCCCCCACCTGGTCTACTACAGCCGAAGCATTCAAACCAGACCTCTAGTTTCATTCTTGTTCTTCTAGTCACGTTACTGCAGCCAAAGTGGCTATTTTAAAAGACAAATCTGCTTTTATGCTTGTCCTAAAATGCCTTGTCGTCATGGCTGGAGTGAAATTAAAAATATTTATCCATGGCTTTATCCAAGACGTGAGCAGATCCACCGTCTACCCTTCTCTGACCTCATGTTCCCACTTGCCAGCAGCTCACTTCACCCACGCGGACTCTGGGCTGTTCCAGAAGCAGCCTCGGCGACCACATTTGCTTTACTCTGCTCCTGTCTGGGCCATTCCTCCCCCATACTCCTGCATGGCATTCTCCCACTTTGATTTGGGTCTCTGTTCAAATGGTACCTCATAAGATACCTTTTCCAATTATTCCACCTCAAAGACCTTCCTTTCCCCAGTATTCCCTATCTCTGATTCTATATATTTATTTGATCACTGCCTGTCTTAACCTGGCCAAGCACCTCTTGAGTCCTCTGTGCACTGCAGCACCACAGGGCTTCCAACAGTGCCTGGGGATAGGAGGCCAAAATGTAAATATGATTCACATGCATAAATGAAAGCATTTTAATCAGTCTGAAGCCATCAACTGCTCCAAGAGAGAAAGATGGGCAAGCTCTTCCCTTGCAATTTACTGTTACTAAAAATCCTCTGGAGGGTCAGTCATGAGGCAGTTCCAACAGACAGTGCATAACAACAATGTGCAGGCAGTGACTTAGATGCCGGGATACAAAGATGAATCCTTAACAGGATCTAGCCTTTTCCCTTGAGGAACTTAAAGTCTAATAGTGAAGGATGGAATATGGTATAACCTTGATGGGTCTGAGGGAAACTGTAGAGCGGAGCGGCTGGACATGAGAGGGGAGCATGGGGTCTGAGAAGTCCCAGGAGCTCCACGTTAACATTTTGGGACTTCACTGGCGCTACCACGAGGCACTGCTAAAAAATACGAATGACTAAGGAGATGGATTTGAAGTTAGAACTGACAGATTTTGAACTGATGGAGTATAGTGACAAGATTAGAGTGTTTGGTAGCCTACTGGCAAGGAACTGTGCTGAGAATTCAAAGGCATGAGGTTTGAATCCATCAGCTGCTCCTCAGGGTGGGGGAAAAAATGGACAATCAACTCCCGTGTGATTTACAGCCTTCGAGAACCTGGAGGAGGTTCAGCTGTGAGTCAGTTCTGACTTGATGACACATAACAGCAAGTGTCAAGACTGGGGAGAAGGTGGCTGATTGTTCTCCTGGGATCTAGGAAATATTACTGGCCAAACAGGAAGAACAACAATGTGGAAAACAATCCAGAACTGGTTTTATGCATGTTGAACCTGAGACCCTGTGAGCCCCACACCAAGTGGTAATAATTCATCAGGTGATGAGAAATTCCTTAACTTCGGAATTACCTAACCTTGCTCCTTGGCTATCAGGTGTTTACATGATCCTAACTGGGCTAAGACACATGTGTAACACACAGGTGTTGCTGTGCTAGCCATGACTTGGTTACGCAAGAAAATGTCCTAGGTCTTCGGGTGCTATCAACTCTGTAAGTTTAATGTACTCTTTATCACGCTTTCTTAAAACAAGGGATACCTGTTTTGCTGTCAAGTCTGATACAAATGCAAAAATTTCCCAGGCATTTTTCCTAGTCAGTGGCTTGAAAGTCCAATTCTAAATGAGGAGACAACATTACTTAGAATTTTGCTTTCCACTTCTCAATGTCATGGCCATCCTGCGTGAATACATGTATACATAAGTATATATACATACCAACATGGGGGGGGGGGCAACGGTCAGAATAAAAGGAAGCTAAAAATATTCTTTTTAAGTGTTAAAACACAATTTCTGGTTAACAGTTAAGGGTAACTGTGTGCCACACAAGGCTAGATCCAACTGTTACAATGTCACAAATTCTCCATCCAGGTTTACTAGGACCTCAAACACCTAGTCAAATTCCTGAGTTAATTTCTTAATGAATAAATCATTCCCACGATTTCAGCCTCTGATTACTCTCTACAAAGCAGAAGATACAGAGATAAGAATAGGGCGATGACCTACCTGCCTTTGTCTAGACTGAGAAGGACCTTTTGGGAATTACTGTTCCAGATGGCTTCACTCACAGGAGCTGTGCAAAAGGTGTTCTTGACAAACATCACTCCTGAGTGACAAATATTCTACATGAGGCAGAGGAGAGGGGCTGACTCAGAAAAGTCAACCGCAAAAAGAGGGAGACATTAAATCTCTGTCAAAGCAAACAGCCTATGACCGGGGGGGATATTTCTCCAGAATGCTGGATAAACCAAACTGCTACACTGCAAACGCCAGCAAGCTGGAAATGCATGGTCTCTCTGCCACTGAAAAACACCCTGACCTTCTTTGAGAGAGGAAGAACAGAGTCATTCATAAATACATACTGCTTGACAATGTGCCATTCTAGTGTTCTTTATCTCTCACATGTTTGGTCAACCAGATACAATGAGATGCGTTCACAATGAGGAAGACAGGAAATCAGGAATGTGGTCTGGCAGAATGTGGGCAGGAAGAATACCTGGGATTCTATCAGGGCCACTTCTCATGTCCTGATCCTGCCTGCATAACACCCCGATGGAGGACTTAAAGGAGTCCTGAGTTGAATATATTTCGGACAAAATAAAACTCCCCCAAGCTACTAAAATTCAAACATAATTGGCTCATTCAGTAATAGTACAATATAAATAATTTAAACTTGGAGGCCCTTGTATTATTCATAAGAAAAACAAAGCTCCTGAGGTCTAGGATGCATTCAAACCTCCCAACACACGGTCATGGCCAGAAGCCAGGCTTTCTGGGTCCCAGATCAGGGTTAGTTTTTTTCCAAGACACAAATGCATTGGCTTATTGATATTCAACCATTTAAACTTACAAATGAATATACTAGTAACGACAATAACCACCAGAACCCCCACAAAATTAAAAAGCTTGAAGGGAAATAGATTTGAGGCAAATTCTCTACTAGAAAAAAACAGAAAAAGAAACAAGCTTTATAGAAATTAGTCAAGAATTAGGACACTTCCTTAGAACAGCAATGGAATTACTTCTAAAGTTATAATTCCCTGAGAGACTGGAAATATTCCTTAAAACTTGAGGACTCTGTAAATGTTCATTAAAATTAATAATAATAAAAAAAAGGTAAATAAAAAAGTTGAGGACTGCCAAACTATTTCCAAAACAGACATCATCATAAACATTCCCCTTTCACAAATTCTGATATAACTTCACTGGCAAAAACTCAGGAAATGTAATCACTTCTATCTGCAGATTCATAATATGAAAAGATAAGGCCCTTACATATAACATACAGGGGAAAAAAACAAAACCCTCAGCATTTCTGTATAAAGATGTTCACGGTATAAATTCTCAGTCAGTCTTTTATTTTCTTAATTGAAGGTGATTTCCTGGTGATTTTCTTAAAAGCAACACAGTGGGGTCATGTAGCAGATCCCATCAGAAAGAAAGGTAATTCCTTAACGAGCTAATTCCCAAGCCTATTCTTGGAAGCAGTATTCAAGGTCTACTAACGAAGCATCAGAAACTCAATGACCAGGACACTTGCAGGTGGTTGGTTTGCTATAGAACTCAGCCAGCCAGCCAGCCAGCCAACCAGCCAACCAGCCAGCCAGCTTGCAAGGGTTCCTGAGTGTAGAGTGGAATATGTCAAGTCATTCTGGGTCCATGGGAAATGAAAAGGAGGTGCCTATATAAAACCAGGAGCCACTTGGCTACAACCATCATACAATGCTTTATGTGACACACTTTTTAGAAGGTAAAAATCCATGCAGGTTAATCCACATTCTAGCTACCTGAGGAAAGCTATACCCTAAGGGTGTCATTTTCCCAATAACCCAATTGTTCCATGAATACCTATTGTAAATTTATTGTGTGCAACAGCTTTAATGAGCTTTTGTTCAAGTTCCAATTTCTGACTCATTGTGGGAAAATGCTGTACTACAGTCAGTCCTTCCACAGTGCTTTAGGACAACAGTCTGGTCTTTATTAGATGGGTTAACAACACCCACACTGGGTAGTGCACCTGTGATTCAATAGCTCGTCCTCTCTTGAAGGTGTCTGAGGGCTTTCTTTCTTTTTAAGTGGAAACAGAAGACCATTATCCCTGACAATCCCATCTATCATTCCCATGAATGCTGCCTGTACCATGTGGTCAACAAACAAGACAGCATTTTTTTTTCTAGTTAAAAAAAAAAAAGAACAAAAGTAGCAATATTCTTTGAAGCCCACTGGCTAATTTCCGAATAAAAATTAGGCATCTGCAATAAACATCAGACATCTGACAGGGGTCGACACCCTCGCCATTACATCTAAGAGTTTTTGCTTTACTTACTTGTATTTTAAGAGCAGCCACTGAAATATCCAGAGTCCTACAAGGATCATGCCATTAATTTCACTAATAGAAAAGGCCCACTGCACCCGGTTA